TTGATCTGAATAAGTCTGGGCCATCTGATGAACTTTCTTTCTTGAATTAATCAAGCAGAAAAGACAATTCTTTATAATCATTACTGTCTTACAAATGTTTTGATAATCAAATTGTGTTAGTTCACTCAATGCTTTACAGGTTGAAAAGAACTACTAATTTTTATTTTACATAAACAGTAAGTAATGATTTTTATTCCTCATTCAAAGCAGAAATCACCTGAATATGCATTTCTTGATTTCCTGTCTGAAATGAGCAAACTGTCGTAAGTATGTTAAAGGTTGGTTTTCGGTCAACTAAAATGTTTACCGAGAAAAATGTCATGTTTTACTATTTGAAAAGATTACAAAGTGTGAGACTCCACGAAGTCTGCTGTTGCTGCAATAATCTTTTCTGTATGTTGTAAACAATCCTTGACTTATGATAACATCTTACGTCACAAATCCACTCCTCTTTCTGGTCCTTCCACGAATCAGAAAGCTCTAAATTGAACAGGAAGTCGACCCATTTAAAATGTGACAACTGCCCAGTTCATGTTAGATTCCAATAGAGGAGAGAAGGAATAGAGAATTATGGATTCCAGAATTCCAAGAGAATGAGAGTTCTGAGAGATGTTGGAATGAGAGCTGACAACAGGTCCGATAGTCCAACAGAATGAGCAGATTGAGAGTGCAGCCGGTTATGAAGAGTTTGGAGTTATGAAGAACCAGGAACGTTTGGGATTATAATTCTGTTTTGAGCTAATCAACGCACGACTTTCTGAAGGTTTGGTAGCTCTCGACGGAGACGCTGAAACGAGTCAGAAAGGAACTACATCCAGCGCTGATTCATCGTCAACAGGTAGATGGTTCTATTTTGACCAAGTGTACCGTGAGAAGCTGAGGATCTGACGAAGCGTGCAATTTCTGGTTAAACAGATTAAACTTCCCTCACACAGTTCTCTGTAAGATAATCTCCTTTCACTCTTAAACTCACCTCTCTCTCATAAAACAGTACAGATATTTTTAGAAATGTCTGAAGCAAAGTCCTCAAATCACCGCCGAGTGATTTGAAGTTCATTTTCTGTGAAACTGTCTGTTATTATTTTCATATTTTGCCAAATTAATGTAAATGTTTGATGTTAAACTTTGATTTTGAAAATAAATGATTCCATTCATTTGATGGGTCAAAGATAAATAACGTCTCTCGTTCACATTTCTGTTAAATTCAATGCACGGCATTTACAGTCAGAAAAATGAAGAACTCGTGAATATTGTATGCATATATAATTCATATATTTGTCATACAACAAGTGACACGTACCTCACGTGACTCACTACAAATCACACATAAAGTGTTTAAAAATAGCCTAAATTATAAATATGAACTGGCTTCAGTGATTTTAGCCTCTTCTTGGGGGTGCTCAAGCACCCCTAAATTTAAACTCAGCACCTCTGAAAAATAAAACATCATTGGGATTTTGTAAGGAAACAGTTCTCAAACTTTAGATTTACCAAAATATTGAATATGGAATAAATGACGACAGTCTCAAACGGGCCAGTAAAATCTTTTTTTTTTTTTTGCACGAGTCCTGCCACCTGTCAATCAATCCAGCATGTCAGCAACTGACCAATCAGCAACCTCAATTTGTCTTGAAGTGAACGCCCCTTACCTGCAGAGCTGCAGCTTTGCAGTCAGAGATTTCAATAATGAGTCTACATCTTTTTTGTTTCATGGTAATCTACTGTAATAAACCTTTGTAAAATACACAAAAATGCAGGAAATGCCATCTATTTTATTCAAAATTCTCTGGAGGAGGAACCCCAGATGCCCCACCATCACCAATGCTGTAATGTTCTTTATACAGAATTGAAGGTTAAATAACTGTATAATAAATAAATGCATTTACTTAAAGAAGTATTTGCATTTCATGTATTATTGCATTTAGCCCGCAGCCCTCTCGGAGAAAAGGTTTGGGCACCCCTGGAGATCTAAGCTAAGAAAAATGTCCACATTTTAATGCTTGAACTGTATAGGAATGGTAAAAAAAAAATCAAAAGAAACATTTAGGCTGCTGCCAAGTGGGCGCATTATGGTGACTATGGTAACCACAGACCTGTGTCTCTCACTCCCTGAATGCCAAGTTACTGAAAGGCGAGTCTAAAACAAGCAGACGCTGTGCAAACAGTTGCATCTTTAAACTGTTCAACCCACGAGCAACACAAGACATTAACGGTCAAACAATTGGACGTTTATGTTTCTCCGGTGTTTTCTGTGCCAGATATGAGTAAAAAAGAACATTCGCTTCCTGTTTTGAAGATAATGAGCTAAAATAAAACCGACGTCTGTGGAAGCTCGGGTGTGCACTCTCTGTATTCTTGCAGGATTTGAGGAAAGAAAATCCTAAGTCCTAGAGCCGTGAGAGACGCGCCGGGTGAAAGAAGACGAACACGTGTGTGTTTTGAAGTCCAGCTCTCCGAGACCAGTTTAAACTCTGAATGTTTCCGAGCTGTAGAGCTCCAAACAGGACTGGGTTCCCTCATGTTTGTTCACACTGTGCAACATACCACAAGTCAGAACATACTCTGATCGAGCAGCATGACTTGGTTTATAACTTGCTTGTTTTATTTTGAAGCTGCGCAACGAGAGACGGGACAGACATTTTGAGAAGAACAGCAACAATGAAGCTTTGAAGCACCTGTAATAATGTCTGTTGCATCTTTAATCTAAGAAAATACAGATAAAAATACATTACTAACCCTTAAAATGAACTAAATTACATGCACTCATAAGACAACAGAACCGTGGTAATCTTAGACCTACCGTGGTATCATTTGAAGGTTTGGCAGTAATTTTTAAAAAATCAACTAATATCTTTTCAGAGCTGCTTTCTGTGTTTGAATACCTGAAACTGAATTACAGTAGCCCATCGCTACGTCGCAGTTCGACTTTCGTGGACTCACTCTTTTGCGTTTTTTTCCAAAAACTGTCAACTTCAGTAATCCTCACGTGATTGGGACAGTACGGGATAAAAAGTTAAAGCAAAAATAATAACAATTCGGACAGGCGCCGACGTTTTAGTGTAAAACGACTTGGTGCATTTTTAGTTAACGTATTTCTTAGTTCATATCTTAGATCTTATTACTGTTTTTCTTTTACATTTTATACTTTTGTTGGATGTAACTGGGAAGTTGTGTACACAATTTCGTTGCACCACATGTGAACCTTGAATCCTTGAATTTTGCAGTTTTCTTTCAATAAGCCTATACTGTAACGCCAGTCAAAAGAACTACACTACCCAGAAGCCAACAGGGCTTCCAGTCGCTGCTTTCTGCCGAAATAGAGGGAAAGTTTTACAACACAAAGTCAGAAGTGACCATTTATCTATGAATCTCACAGAACTGACAGGAAAGTTGAAATAATCCTGAAGCTCAATTAGCCACGTGCACGTCAACCTGGTGCACAGGTGGGCTTCGTTGCTGCAGGGTAAGTTTGCTGAACCAGAAACAAACCCGACCAGAACCGAGCTGCTGGTCTGCAGAGCTGCTGAGTAAAATTTTGCAGTACCGTGCAGTACATATATGTACGTTGTTAAAATGACGTAGGTTTAAGAGTTAGAATATTGCAAGAGTGTGGGAAGGGTTTATAAAGCCTTAAAATAGATATGAATAATAAAATAAATATAGTGTTCCTACTTGGCGGTTTTTCACCTATCGCGGTCGTGTGTGGAACGTAACCCCCACGATAATCGAGGGACTACTTACTGCATGGCATTACACCAAATACCCTAAACTCTGATGAGTATAGATAAACTTTGTGAGGGGAGGTCACGGTTGATACTTTGCTCTACTGGTCCAAGAGCCTGCAGCGCTCCCCCGGGGACAGAAGCTGGATTTCCACTGGAAATAGCCTCTTTAAATGTGCAGTTTGCTTTGGTGCTGAGATGGGATTATACTCGGGAACAGTCATCTCTGGGGGGTTTCTAGGGCCTGCGTATGGCCTCAGAGTGTTACGTCTTGAACTGCTTCTGGATGATTCCTCAGCGGGGCAGTGAGTGTGTCAGCAGCTGTCTGCCACGAATACACACACCGCTGGATGCAAGTCAAACGGTAATATGACAATGAGAGAACAGAGGGGAAAAACAACACACGGTGAAGAGGACAGCAAGCTGTGCACAAACAGCAGAGCATTCAAGGATGCGCTCAGCAAAGAGAGCAGTGGTGTGGGTGGATCAGCACGCAGAGACACTCGTGTTTAAACGGATCAGAGAAGGAGTACAGGACAGAATAGACCTGTCCGTTACGTATACATCAGTGTCAGAGCCCTCGCACGTCACAACGCCGTACTCTGTCAGCAGCTCGGGCTCAGTAATCAATCACATCGATGCAGCCGAGGTGGAGAGACTGGGAGTCAGGCGAGGATCTGTGAGCAAACTCTGCAGCGTCCAAAAATAAATAAAAGAGCCGTCCTGATCACTTTGCTTTACTCCCATCGCAGAAACATCTTCAGTCGTGACTCTGAGCCTGGGAGGGTGTGATGAATGATAAATATCTCCTCCACTCTCACGTTCATGTTCTGCTTTCACACTGGCTGACAGAAGCAGGTCAGTCAAGCCCAGATTTGTTGGTATGAACCCCCACACACGCTTCGTGCTCTGAAACACCAGAACAAGCCTTATAATTACACACAGTGAGCGCAAACACCAGAGACCGGACATCAGTGGAGAAACTGACCCCAGAATCGATGCAGGAGCGCGAGCAGCGGGACTGGTGGGCATCAGGTTCTGGTGGGACTTTATGGCAGCAAGGAGAACATCTGAGGCCTGTTTGAAGAAATGAGGCTCCTCCAGAAAACCAAATATCAGTCAGAAAACAGCCAGATGTGGTGGCACCAGCCTGTCAGGACACACCCCCTCCAGGCTGGAGTATAGGACCAAACAGGCCCAAATGTTTCTCCCCTTTAAGTGGAGCACCTCGAGCAAAGCAGCGCGTATTAAACCATGAAACCTCCTGAAACATCTCACCTTGTTTGACACATTTGAAGCGGACCGGGTCTTTGCAGTGTTTGATGACGGCCAGCACGTCCCGGGTGGTGAGCCCGGCCACCGGCATGTCGTTGACCTCCAGCAGCAGCTCATCCTGGGCCAGCTTCCCGCTCTGGATCAGCCCCTTCCCCTGCCTCACCTCGCCGAAGTACGGGAACTGGCCGTTCTCAGCGCCCCCCTTCAGCTCGAAGCCCAGCTCCCCGTCCTTCCCGCGGGTTATCACCGCTTCGTGGACTTTGTTGGTCCAGTGGTTCTTCTTCTTGAGGCTCTTCGACATCTTTTTTTTTTCCACCGCGGGCTTAGCCCGTAAAGAAGAAGCCTCCTCCCGCCGAGCTTCACGGCGCTCCGGGCTCCATCATGACCGGCCCACGCCAGGCGCAGTGTCCGCTCTGCGAGCCGCGCGGTCGGGCAGGGAGCTGCGGTACAGCGCGGCGGCGGCGGGAACAAATGTTTTCACTCTGACAGACACAGACGCAAGAGACAGATCCTGCTGGATGACCCGGATGTGAAGCCTGAAGGAGGGGGGAGATGAATGGCTCTGGTTCGGCGTGAAGCGATGAAGAGGAGGGGCGCTCTGTTTTACTACGCTGCTGCCAGGGGCGCGTCCAGGCGCTCCGGGAGCCCACAAGACCCGCAACAGTTTGCGCCTCCTCACTGGACAACTTCACACGTCTGGAACTGGGCTAATATCCTAAGATGCAAAATCCTATTTTAACAATAAAAAAATGAAGACTATATCGCATTTAAGGCACATATAAATATATAATGGAACCACAGCATGATGGGACCCCAAATTTAGTGGTGCCACACTGCAAGATCCCAGGTTGCAGGTCATATTTGTAAACGAGAACTGGTTCTTAAACATTTCACCTGGTAAAATAATGGTAAAAAAAAAAAATGCATTACAAAAAGATTTTGTATCCATCTGAGACCAAGTAAATAAGAGCCAATATTGCCAGTTTTCAATAATTAAAGTGAATGCATCAACATATTGATGAACCTGAATGAAGTTTCACCATAAATTTAAGTATTTTATATAGAGCTACAACAAAATATATATATAAATATAGTGGTGCCACACTGCAAGATCCCAGG